TCCGTTTTTTTTTTTTTTTTTTTTTTGTTTCATTAATATGCCAATTTGACCTTATACTTTCAATCTTCCCTAAACACGTGACATGGTCAATTCTGTAATGGTTCCTTTAAACAATTGTTGCAAAGAGGGACATTTAAGTTATGCTTGGCTAAATTTACTCGGCGCGGGGCATAACGGCTCTCTGTTGTTCTTCATTGTCCTTCCCCTTCTGTAATATTTAGTAGTATTATCTTTCTGTTTCTTTACCTGATATCATGGTAAAAACGGATTCACGCGATAGAGAAATTTCCTTGAGGGGAACTCCACATGATAGGCGACGAAACCATGATTCATTTTTTAATAATGATAACTTACTACTAGGAAGCTAGGCATGGTTAGTAACGAGCCGTATATGCATTATAATACTACTTCATGAAATAAAATTTCACGCGACACTGAAGCTTTTAATACAAAATATAAGCGTAATAAGAGACTATAACGGCCTACTGTAGGATGAGAGGGAATAAGGAGTCTATGAAAATGGCTAAGTACAATACTTTAATGAGCATGGATACTTCGTCTTTCGATTAGAATTACGGTGCCCTCGTGTTAAAGGTGGCTTTGTGGAGCTGAGGGATAATGTAAAAACTTTGACAATTTCACGTATTCCATAATACACTATATTAAGGAGACTCAGAATAGCTGAAGTCGTGGTAATTCCTATTATGCAGATTGTAGTTCGACATTCTGGGATCACAGCATCTGCAGGAGAAGGCGTGTTCCTGCTTATATCGTCTCTTTATTTCTTCGAAGGAATATCTCTTTAAGGATCAAACGGGAGCTGGGGATGTCGCAGATATGATATACAGGGCTAGACGTCAGACGGTGAATCCTCATCTCTTCGATGATAACTGTCGAAGAACTAACATCGGGAGATGCGTCATTATTCTGGCGCGTCCCTTTGCCACTGTTGGATTTTACTGATGATTAGTCTCGAACAGTGAGACTTATTAAGGGATAACACCTTTACATATATGCCCATATGAAGTATCCTTCTCTGTATGGTGAATTTCTCCCTGAAGCGACGATCACGTGCATATTCCATTATGAGTCGTTTCAATGCATCAATAAGTTACACAAAGGGGAACCTGCCCAGATATATTACTGCGCTGATTATTCATTCTAATAGTGATAACCTGTGGAGCTATGTTGTATCGTTATGATCTTAGCAAAAGCTTCATATAAATCACAGAGCCGTGAAAACATTGGAGGTTATAGACTGTTCTGTTATTTGAAACCTCAAGAATGAGAAGGTTTGCGAAAAAATCGTAGGTTGCATTATGAGTTTGACCACAAGAGTCGAAACAACACCCAAGGCGACAGGGGAGGATTATGACATAGAGAGCGTGTGCCGGTTCATTAGTATAGACCGTGTTTCTTCCTGAGGTAGGGAATGAACATGCTTCATCCTTGAAGGAATATACATCCATCTAGTACTGCCGCGGGTGTATGATCGATAACATAAATCTGTGGTAACCCCGGGGTGAGATTGTGTGTAACTTGGTCTCCTTTTCTGTTTCTTTTCTTCTCTAATATTGACTCATGTAGATCACGTTATTATATAGTTCCTCTTCTTCTATTATCATTTTAAACTGTTAACTAAATAGTTTGAAAGGATATTCTTATGGTTAGAATATTTCCCCTTCTTTTAGCTGTACATTACAGGATATTTTCCCGACACTCTAAATTTTATGTTAACATGACACATCTTAAAAACGTAGGAGCCCCCTTGAAGGAGGGAGAAAATTCCATTTTTTATGTGCTTTAAGTCCGTTTTTAAATCCTCAGAGTGAGGCGTCCTGATATAGTTACTGTTTCCTATTATATGACCGCATTGAACTGAGGAAAGGAAGTTGATGTATATATTAATAGTTGACGTAGATTATCTTTTTCCTAACGATAAAATTCGCATCATGGATAAAATAGTAGTAAGGAATCCTAATGCCATGGATTGGGCATTCAATGTCAGTGTCAGGAAAGTGTTATCGCATTTTTAGAATATAAGTTTATTCGTCCTCGCGCAGGCCTCCTGTCGTACCCAAGACCAACAGGAAAAGTTATGGCAGTAATGTTTCTGTAGTTCGGCCGAATTCGTTTTAATGTCTGTTGGGAAATCAGACGGTTCATTTTGTTCTGTAAATGAGCTGTATGTTTAAATAGGCCGAAAAAATATTTATCTGAATCGAAGTGTATATTTCTGAGGATTGTAATTAAGTCCCCTGTAAGATATATCTTCTTAGGGGTTATTGATACGAAGAGAATTCCGGAATCACCCTTGCTTATTAGAAATACGAATGAATTAATATTTTCTTACACTTAAATAATGTCGAAACCAAAGTGGCATCTGATATGAATAAGTATTACCTTCAAACAACAAACCTTAAAATAACACCTTTCCCTTTTGTTAATATACTGAGACGCGCTGAAGATACAGAGTCTTCACTTGTCAGCCCACCTGACTGTAGAATCCAATAGCAACTCAACCAGGAGGCTATTTTATGAGGAAGAGTGCATGTTTTAAAATAGGAATAGAAAGGATAAAA